GGCGACCACTTTGCGAAAAATTACGTTGCAGCGACTTCAATCCCTATTGGGCAAATTGAACTTTGCCTGTCGGATTATGCCGATGGGCAGGGTGTTCAACCGGCGCCTTGCGGCCGCTACGGCTGGGATTTTGAAACCGTCTCACTTCGTCCGCTTGACCAAGGCGCTCAGGGAGGACTTGGCAGTATGGGCAGTCTTTTTGGATGGGTACAACGGCAGGTCCTACTGGCAGCAGCCCGAGGTGACGAACTCGGTGCTGCACCTGTTTACGGATGCCGCGGGGTCTTGGGATTTGGGGCTATCATGGGAAGGCAATGGTGTGCGGAGCCCTGGCCCGAATCGTGGTTCACCTCTGGCCTGACCAAGAACATGGCTTTCTTGGAACTCTTCCCCATTGTGGTGGCTATCCATCTTTGGGGGCCAGAGATCAAGAACAGGCGTGTTGTGTTCCACTGTGACAACATGGGCGTTGTACAAGCCATTAATAGGCTAACGGCCTCCTCCCCTCCTGTAGTTCGGCTCTTGCGGCGCTTGGTTTTACAATGTCTGTCTTTTAATGTGACTTGCCGCGCTGTGCATATCCCTGGTGTGGAGAATACCACGGCTGATGCTCTTTCTCGTTTCCACTGGCAGGTGTTTCGTTTGGCCGCGCCGGAAGCGGACACGGAAGGCCTCCCCTGTCCCAGAGACTTATGGTCCCTTGGCCTGAGCGGATAAGGGAATGGATTCGGTCTTCGGTGTCTGAGGCAACTTGGGTTCGGTACGGTAAGGCATGGGGGGACTGGGTTGCTTTGGAACAAGACCTAGGTGGGTTTGATTCGACCTCTGCAAGGGTTCAGGGGATCTTACGGTTGCTCTGGTTCTGGGAGGCTAGCGGGTGTTCTCCGGCTACGGTTTCAGGGAAGCTATCCGGTCTTAGTTTCTGGTTCAACTTGACTAAGGTGCCTGACGTTACCAAGGACTGCATGGTTCGGCTTGCGATGCGCGGCTGGCGCAAGGGCCCACACCTGCGGGATTCTCGGAGGCCGGTTTCTGGCGCTCTGCTAGTAGGCATTGCGTCGGTCTTACCCAGGGTTTGTTTTTCAGATTCGGAGGCACGTTTGTTCCAGTTGGCTTTTACTTTCGCCTTTTTCGGCGCCCTTCGAATCGGTGAGCTTGTGAGCCCTAGCAAACGGATCCCGGGGGGCTTGTTGTTCAACGATGTGTCTGTGGTGTCGGATTCAGTGCGTTTTTTGGTACGAAGGTCCAAAACCGACATCTTCGGCAAAGGGGCATGGGTTACCCTCCGCGCTATTCCGGGTTCGGCTGTCTGCCCTGTCGCATCTTTTCAGTCTTATTGTCTTGGTCGCCCGGACGTTGAGGGCCCTCTACTAATTCATGGGGACGGTTCCTTCCTTTCTCGGTTCCAATTTCTTCGGGTCTTTCGGTTGGCACTCGACCAACTGGGTATTTCGAGTGCAGACTTTGGGGGACATTCTTTTCGAATTGGGGCCGCAACTGAAGCCTCCCGTTTAGGTTTTTCGGACCAGGCCATTCAGAGGATTGGCAGATGGGAATCGGGGAGGTTTCGGTCTTATGTACGGCCCACACGTCTGATCGGTGTCCCCCTTGTGTTTTCTCCACAGGGCCTGGCCGACGGATCTGGTTGATCGGTCATTCGTACATCTACTGGGCTCACCTGCGGGCTGGGGTACGCCCGGGTGGGACACGGCTCGGAATACCTCGGGAGCTGGCGGAGGTCCGGTGGTTCGGGTTCCGGGGCATGAGATGGGGTCAGCTATTACCGGAGGTCGTGCAGTTATCCACTTTATTAGGAGCCCCGGACATCTTGGTGGTGCATCTGGGGGGGAACGATCTGGGGTCCCTGCCTGCGTGGGGGCTGGGGGAACTCATCAGGCGAGATTTGGCGCGCTTGCGTGTGCTTTTCCACGACTTTGTTTAATATGGTCGGATATCGTTTCTAGGAACTATTGGAAGTGCGCACGCGATCAGGGTGCTATTGAGCGCTGCAGGGTCAAGATTAATAAGCGGGTTTCCAAATTTGTCCTAGGCGTCGGGGGCTTAACAGTGCGACACCGTATTTTTGAGCGCGAGGCAGCAATCTATTTTCGCCCGGACGGGGTCCATCTAACTGACGTAGGCTTGGACTTATTTAATTTAGCGCTACAGGACGCGTTGGAACAGGCCATGGCGTTGCTTGGGGGTCGCGCCCGCTGATTTAGGCGTAAATGCAGCTGGGGCTAGTGGCGGGTATGGTCCTTGCCGAACCTATTGGGAAGAGGAGTAAAGAAAAAGAAAGATGCTGGGTCGGGTCCCTCCCCTGACCTCGAAAATGTTTTGGGTATTTGGGCGTGCCCTCCGTGCCAGGAAAGGTGGCCAGGGGTTGGCATGTGGAGTTTGAAGGCCAAAGTGAAGGCCAGGTATCTTGGACGAGGGGGGAGGGCCGATGCCTTGGTGGGGGGTGTACCCTAGAGTTTTGGTGGTACGGTTGGCAAGGACTAGTTTGAAGATAAGCATACTTACACCTAAATTATTTATGGTTGGTTTATTTACAGTTGTTTGTTAATTTATAAATAAAGCTGTGGCCTTTTTTATACCACATATATACGTTTCCTAGTTTGATTGGGGGGGAATTGAGCGATTTTGGGGATTGTTATGGTTCACACCACACGATAACCGCTACCTACACACATGGATTTCAGCCATTTGGATTCAAATTTAATCAATAGTTATATTAATTCAGAGGCTATATTGCAACATCTGTATGCTGATAATATTTATGATCCAAATGTCCTAGGATAATTTTTTTCTCAAAATACAGGTATTGTAGTCCGCACACAGGGATAAGCCCCGATGGTCCACAGAAAAAATATAAATAAATAAAAATAGAAGAAATTGGAAGTATGAAAAAAAAGTTTATTGTTATAAAAAAAACAGAATAATATGGCATTAAAATGCCATGGCAGCTCTCATATATATTGAATGTTTAAACAGGCATGGAATACAATACAGACATGTTGTTTCCAAAGAACGACACAAATGTCCAGGCAAAAGGAACAACTTTGCAAAAATAGGAACAGTTGGTAAGAGAAATAACAAATAGTTGCAATACCTGCTACTGCCAGACAAGGGAGAGACTACCTACACCACTACCCAAAAAAAGGATTTTGTGAGTACCCTGGACACGTTTCGCACCTCCCTGGTGCTTTCTCAACATCTTCTTTTTTCTATTCGTACTGGGATCCATTCAGAGATTAGTGAACTAACTTCTTAGTGAATAACCCTGAGAGATACATTTAGTATACACAAACAAACATGAACGACAACACACACCTCTTTTCATTGTGTGTTCAGATTTTTGAGGACTCAGGTACGAAAAGAAAAAAACAAACACTTTTTGTAAGTAAATATATTTAATGATATAGGGCTAACGTATTCTGTAACGCTGTCAGTGTGTGTATTTACGTTACAGTGCTGCAGTAATGGAGCGCACTCGCCACACAAACATTTTGTTTGTTCCGTACGTGCACAAACACACAGGTCTCCCAGAGCCTTGCTGACACCTCTCTCTCCCTCGGGGCTCCAAGTTGTTGAGGCCGCTGCCCCTGACCTCTCGTTTACAAGCGCTGACAAGAGCAGGGGTGGCGTTAACGAGGGCCCAGTGCGGCCTGCTCTGGTAATGTGGAGCCTAACGTCAAGTGACAGGGACATTTCACAAGTGAAGAGCCACGGACTGTGCCTGGAGAAAGAGTTTAACAGTCAGTGCGCTCGAACTTCTGCTTAACTCCCAGTGTGCTGGACCTGTGTGAAAAACAGAGGCTGGCACCGGAAAACCAATGGCTTTGGCCTGCAGCTCCCATCAAGCTCAGCCATAATATAGCAGCTAGAATTCATGAAGTTTCCATGGAGAGGTGCGTTTTACACCTGAAATTTAACCCTCTTTCTTCTGGAATGAGTTGTATGTAATGCCCCAAGGATTAAAGGACCACTATAGGCACCCAGACCACTTCAGCTTAATGAGGTGGTCTGGGTGCCAGGTCCAGCTAGGTTTAACCCTTTTTTCTATAAACATAGCAGTTTCAGAGAAACTGCTATGTTTATAATAGGGTTAATCCAGCCTCTAGTGGCTGTCTCATTGACAGCCGCTAGAGGCGCTTCTGCGCTTCTCACTGTGATTTTCACAGTGAGAAGACGCCAGCGTCCATAGGAAAGCATTGTAAATGCGTTCCTATGGACTGGGTGAATGCGCGCGCGGCTCTTGCCGCGCATGCACATTCAGCCGAAGAGGAGGAGAGGAGGAGAAGAGCTCCCCGCCCGGCGCTGGAGAAAGAGGTAAGTTTAACCCCTTCCTCCCCCTAGAGCCCGGCGGGAGGAGGACCCTGAGGGTGGGGGCACCTTCAGGGCACTATAGTGCCAGGAAAACGTGTATGTTTTTCTGGCACTGTAGTGCCCTGAGGGTGCCCACACCCTCAGGGTCCCACTCCCGTGGCGCTGAGGGGGCAGGAAGGGGTTAAACTTACCTCTTTCTCCAGCGCCGGGTGGGGAGCTCTCAGCCAGTCTTCACAGTGAGAAGCACGCAAGCGCCGCTAAAGGCTGGATTAACCCTAACATAAGCATAGTAGTTTCTCTGAATCTGCTATGTTTATAAAAAAAAAGGGTTAACCCTAGCTGGACCTGGCACTCAGACCACTTCATTAAGCTGAAGTGGTCTGGGTGCCTATAGTGGTCCTTTAACCTAAGCAGAGAGAATCAGCTGACAGTTATTAGCCTATCACAGCACCATTTCTAGCATGGATCTGTATAGCTACAAGGAAGTATGTAGTCTCTGCCTTAGCCACACCTCCAGTGGGGGCCGGACTATAGGTGTCCAGGGACCCTCATTCAGTGTTAAACTGCTCGAAAATGTGGAAACCGTTTCAGTGTACGGAAATGTAACACTTTCCCCGATTACTCTGAAATGTAACTCTGTCTCTGCTGGAGTGAATCCTACACCTCACATTGACTATTTAAAGCTAACTCTCCCTTTCTCTATCTGTTGCAGTGTATAATTAGACTTGCAGGGTTATTCACTAAGGTGAGACTTGTCTCGGACACTCCTGAGACATCATTGTCATCCACAATGCAGAAGTGCAGTGGAGGGAAGTGCATTTTATATTCACTCTAGTAATGGCTGATTTACTGGGGTGAGAGAACGAAAGACTCTCCTGTCTCTAGAACTAAGTGTCTCCCTCTCCAACATGGCCCCCTGTCAATCATTACGATAAGGTTCTTTCCTATTGTGTCATTATACATAGTATCAGTCAATCCTCTGACTGTGCCTGTATCGAATTGGATTGTGATGTCAAATGCTGCATTTTTGATATAAGCAAACTGTAACACAAGTCATATTGATTCTCAGTGTTTTATTTAGTCGCGTGAATTACAGAAAAGTAGCAGTGTCCTATTTCCTTTATATGATGTAAAAATGCTTATATGTCACACTTCGATAACAAAAAAGCCTGCCCGGACTTATTTTAAACATATTTCTTCTTTCAACTTATAAAGTGTTTTTACTTTACTGTTAATTCGAAACCTTTTGGCGGCTTCTGCTCAAACTGGCTTTCGTAAGACGTAGACCATTGGATTTTGATGCATGGCAATATCCTGATTCTTACTATGCACGCTCTGCTGATATTCCAATTTCGCTTGTAGCCACCAGTCTATGTCTGTTTTCATTTTTGATATACAACGTACCAGCTGTCAAATCAAAAATAGAGAATGTTAAAAAAAATAAAAATGTTTTTTGAATGCTTATATGTAAGATAATGATGAAATCGTCCCAGAGTAGATTTTCGAGACGCCTGGTGCATGCAGATGACATCAGTATTTGTGAACGTACACACGCTGTGCATTACCTGCATGGTCGTCTATCTGAGTAGTGTTTATGACAAAGCAGGATTTAAAGATGGCTGCCCCCACGCAACAAGGTTACGCCAGGAAAAAGAAGGATATCATGGCACTGGAGAGGGTCCAGAGACGTGCTACAAAATTGATAAAAGGAACGGAGCATTTTAGTTATGAAGAAAGGTTAAAAAAATTAAATCTGTTTAGTTTGGGAAAAACGGCGCCTGAGAGGGGATTTGATAACGTTATACAAATATATTCGGAGCCAGTACAAACCTTTATCTGGAAATCTATTCATAAACAGGGCTATACATGGGACACGAGGTCACACATTTAGGCTGGAAGAAAGGAGATTTCATCTAAGGCAAAGAAAAGGTTTTTTTTTTACAGTAAGAGCAATAAGGATATGGAATTCTCTGCCTGAAGAGGTGGTTTTGTCTATACAGATGTTTAAACTGCAATTGGATAAATACTTGCAAAAACATAACATACAGGGATTTCATTTCTAATTAGTGGGGTAATAGCTGCTTGATCCAAGGAGACATCTGACTGCTATTTTGGGGTCAAGAAGGAATTTTTTACTAGTTTGTGGCAAAATTGGAAGAGATTCAGACCAGGTTTTTTGCCTTCTTTTGGATCAACAGCAAAAACATATGTGAGGTAGGCTGAACTTGATAGACGCAAGTCTCTTTTCCGCTGTGTAACTATGTAACTATGTAAGGATATGTACTTAAAGTCGGTATTGTATGGATTACAAAATAGTACACACAAAGGCTGTAATACACGCAGCTTTCTGTTTTAGATAATGACTGTAAGGTACAGCGGTTTTCCTTTAAGAAAGATACGTTAAGATTAGCAGTATTTCAGGTAAATGGCTGTGAAGTGTTTGCATTTAGCAGCAGGACTGGATGTGAACACATTTCAGCTATTCAGCGCCGGCAAGGTCTGGGGAACGTGTTAGACTGTGTGAGCTGCTGCTTGGCCTCCGAGGGGAGTGTTTAGGACAGAGAAATGAAGCACCTTATCAGTCCTGGCAGTTCCCCCAGCGCCTGGAGCCAGCCTGCAGCCACCACAACACAGCCCTTTTTAATTGCATTCACATCCAATCCGCAGGCCTGCGCCTCACGCTGGCTGTGCATAGCCCCACAGCCATGCACCCCTACCTGCATGAGAGAGGGGGGCATTACGCAGCACAGTGACCCCAACATATCTCACTCAGACCAAGGACACAGCTGGGCAACCTCCAGAGACACAGCTGTATAGGGAGAGCAGACAGAGACAGATAGCTGTGTATTATATAGTGACAGATAGCTGTGTGTTATACGATGGCAGATAGCTGTGCGTTATACAATGACAGATAGCTGTGTGTTATATAGTGACAGATAGCTGGGTGTTACATTGTGACAGATAGTTGTGTGTTTTACAGTGACAAACAGCTATGTGTTATGCAGTGACAGATAGCTGTGTGTTATGTTATACGGTGACAGATAGCTGTGTGTTATATAGTGACAGATAGCCATGTGTTACATAGTAACAGATTGCTGTGTGTTATACAGTGACAGATACCTGTGTGTTATATAGTGACAGATAGCTGTGTGTTACACAGTGACACATAGCTGTGTGTTATATAGTGACAGATAGCTGTGTGTTATACAATGACAGATAGCTGTGTGTTACATAGTGACAGATAGCTGTGTGTTATACGATGACAGATAGCTGTGTGTTATATAGTGACAGATAGCTGTGTATTATATAATGACAAATCGCTGTGTTATATGGTGACAGATAGCTGTGTGTTATACAATGACAGATAGCTGTGCGTTATACGGTGACAGATAAGCTGTGTGTTATACAGGGACAGATAGCTGTGTGTTACATAGTGACAGATAGCTGTGTGTTACACAGGGACAGATAGCTGCGTGTTATATAGTGACAGATAGCTGGGTGTTACATAGTGACAGATAGCTGTGTGTTATATAGTGACAGATAGCTGTGTGTTATACAGTGACAAACAGCTGAGTGTTATGCAGTGACAGATAGCTGTGTGTTATATAGTGACAGATAGCCATGTGTTTCATAGTAACAGATTGCTGTGTGTTATACAGTGACAGATAGCTGTGTGTTACATAGTGACAGATAGCTGTGTGTTATATGATGACAGATAGCTGTGTTGTATAGTGACAGATAGCTGTGTATTATACAATGACAAATCGCTGTGTTATATGGTGACAGATAGCTGTGTGTTATACAATGACAGATAGCTGTGTGTTATACGATGACAGATAGCTGTGTGTTATATAGTGACAGATAGCTGGGTGTTACATTGTGACAGATAGTTGTGTGTTTTACAGTGACAAACAGCTATGTGTTATGCAGTGACAGATAGCTGTGTGTTATGTTATACGGTGACAGATAGCTGTGTGTTATATAGTGACAGATAGCCATGTGTTACATAGTAACAGATTGCTGTGTGTTATACAGTGACAGATACCTGTGTGTTATATAGTGACAGATAGCTGTGTGTTACACAGTGACACATAGCTGTGTGTTATATAGTGACAGATAGCTGTGTGTTATACAATGACAGATAGCTGTGTGTTACATAGTGACAGATAGCTGTGTGTTATACGATGACAGATAGCTGTGTGTTATATAGTGACAGATAGCTGTGTATTATATAATGACAAATCGCTGTGTTATATGGTGACAGATAGCTGTGTGTTATACAATGACAGATAGCTGTGTGTTATACGGTGACAGATAAGATGTGTGCTATACAGGGACAGATAGCTGTGTGTTACATAGTGACAGATAGCTGTGTGTTACACAGGGACAGATAGCTGCGTGTTATATAGTGACAGATAGCTGGGTGTTACATAGTGACAGATAGCTGTGTGTTATATAGTGACAGATAGCTGTGTGTTATACAGTGACAAACAGCTGTGTGTTATACAGTGACAGATAGCTGTGTGTTATATAGTGACAGATAGCTGTGTGTTACACAGTGACACATAGCTGTGTGTTATATAGTGACAGATACCTGTGTGTTATATAGTGACAGATAGCTGTGTGTTATACAGTGACAGATAGCTGTGTGTTACATAGTGACAGATAGCTGTGTGTTATACAGTGACAGATAGCTGTGTGTTACATAGTGACAGATAGCTGTGTGTTATACAGTGACAGATAGCTGTGTGTTACATAGTGACAGTGACAGATAGCTGTGTGTTATATAGTGACAGATAGCTGTGTGTTATACAGTGACAGATAGCTGTGTGTGTGACAGATAGCTGTGTGTGACAGATAGCTGTGTGTTATACAGTGACAGATAGCTGTGTGTTACATAGTGACAGATAGCTGTGTGTTATACAGTGACAGATAGCTGTGTGTTACATAGTGACAGATAGCTGTGTGTTATACAGTGACAGATAGCTGTGTGTTATACAGTGACAAATAGCTGTGTTATACAATGGCAGATAGCTGTGAGTTACACAGCGACAGATAGCTGTGTGTTATACAATGACAGATAGCCGTGTGTTACATAATGACAGATAGCTGTGTGTTATACAGTGACAGATAGCTGTGTGTTATACAATGACAGATAGCCGTGTGTTACATGATGACAGATAGCTGTTTATTATACAATGACAGATACCTGTGTGTTACATAATGACAGATAGCTGTGTGTTATACAATGACAGATAGCTGTGTGTTACATAGTGACAGATAGCTGTGTGTTATACAATGACAGATAGCTGTGTGTTATATAGTGACAGATAGCTGTGTGTTATACGATGACAGATAGCTGTGTTGTATAGTGACAGATAGCTGTGTGTTATACAATGACAGATAGCTGTGTGTTATACGATGACAGATAGCTGTGTGTTACATAGTGACAGATAGCTGTGTGTTATACGATGACAGATAGCTGTGTGTTATATAGTGACAGATAGCTGTGTATTATACAATGACAAATCGCTGTGTTATACGGTGACAGATAGCTGTGTGTTATACAATGACAGATAGCTGTGTGTTATACGGTGACAGATAAGCTGTGTGTTATACAGGGACAGATAGCTGTTTGTTACATAGTGACAGATAGCTGTGTGTTACACAGGGACAGATAGCTGTGTGTTATATAGTGACAGATAGCTGGGTGTTACATTGTGACAGATAGTTGTGTGTTATACAGTGACAAACAGCTATGTGTTATGCAGTGACAGATAGCTGTGTGTTATGTTATACAGTGACAGATAGCTGTGTGTTATATAGTGACAGATAGCCATGTGTTACATAGTAACAGATTGCTGTGTGTTATACGGTGACAGATAAGATGTGTGTTATACAGGGACAGATAGCTGTGTGTTATATAGTGACAGATAGCTGTGTGTTACATAGTGACAGATAGCTGTGTGTTATATAGTGACAGATAGCTGTGTGTTACATAGTGACAGATAGCTGTGTGTTATATAGTGACAAATAGCTGTGTGTTATATAGTGACAGATAGCTGTGTGTTATACAGTGACAGATTGTTGTGTGTTATACGGTGACAGATAAGATGTGTGTTATACAGGGACAGCTTTGTGTTATATAATGACAGATAGCTGTGTGTTATACAGTGACAGATAGCTGTGTGTTATATAGTGACAGATAGCTGTGTGTTACACTAAATAAAGTATGTGGACATCATACCTATATAAGCCTGCTTTATATCCCCCTCCAAAGCCAGGGGCATTAAAAGGTTCATCTAACTCTCTTCCTATCCAAATCCCTAAAGCACTTTAGCTTGCTGAGAAGCTTCATGTGTGAAAAGTGTGTCCTATTTGGCATTTTGGAAAAAGTGCAGATTTCAATAGAAATTGACCCTGTTATGAATTTACATGGTTACTCCCCCTGGCTTTTCAAGCAGACAGCAGGTCCTTTTACTTCCTGGTTTTATTAGCTTATTTGCACTGAACTGAAGAGACAGCAATTGCCCAGATCACCTGCCTTACAAAGACTTCTCATTGAGCTGCACTGGAAAGTCTGTGATTGGACAGACAGAGAAAATGTGGGCGGGGGTTGGAAAGGGAGGGTTTGCAAAGACTGCAGACAAGAGATCTTCAGGTTTTTGCAAGCTGTTTTTAGATATTTTATTAGATATCTATTTTATTAGATATTTTATATTATTCTGTCCTATAGGTCACTGGTTAATTAGCCCAACCCTTATATTATTATTATTATTATTAGTAGTAGTATTATTATTATAAATTGCAAATAAATGTATAATTTTTTTTTACTTGAAATCAAGCACCAGATGAGGGTCTTCCAGACCACATCTGACATCTGGATGCGTTACTCCCTTCTTCCCCACGGTCCAATCAGAGGAGCATTTGATTCAATTATTCTACTGACTTAGAGCACATGCATGCATGCCAGGGAGGGATGGAAGAGGTTTTTTGTTTTTTTAATTGGAAAAATCGGAATAAAATGAGGTGGGAGTGAGGGAGGGGTGATGCTTTCTGTAAGGGAGAAGCTCAGTACATCTGTCGCTAGTGCACAGTTCACGTGCTGAACAAAGACGTAAATTGTGCACAGAA